GCTTATTCCCTGTAGGTTTGGCGGTGTGAGGAAGCCGACAGTAGTTGTAACCAACATTTGTGACATTTCAACTCTCCTCTTGCTGTCAGAACATCCAGTTATCGGGTTACAAGTACTCGTCACATGAGATGGACACGGGACGTCACCTTGACTCCGAGTTAGATCTGGAGCCGTCGCCGTGCGTGTGCGCCCGTCCCGGCTCCAGTGTGCTGTGTGGCTGGTGCGATGAGAGGGGGAAGCGACGCCACCGACACTCCACTCGGAGGAAGAGTTCCGTCGCACCGAGACAAATGAGAAGACGTTCTGCCGCATACTCTCAAGGCGGGAGGCAGGAGCTGCCGCCTGGCTCAAAGCCGTTCGTGCATCACCAGGACACACATAAGTACATCGAGGAATACCGGGCCAGTCGGCAGGGTTCTGCTACGGAACTAGTGCGGGTCACTACGCCATCGGTGAGGATGAAACCCAGGGTGATAGAAGTGTGCAGGACTCCCAGGTCCGGATCCCGGGTAAAGAGGACGCAGTTTCTACCTCCGAACATCATTACATTTCAGGTGTTCTCCGAGGAACCCACGCCTTCCTCACCACAACTGTCTGTGCCAAGTCACGGCCAACACAATAAACACCCAATCAGGGAGGTCATACAGAAGACGGAAAGTTTTGCTAAGAGGAATTTTCCGAAAGGTAAGACCACAATTTAGGGCTTTAGTGCCCCCGTTATATATATAATCTATGCTTACCCGGATAAGTTGGATCATGGCGTTAGCTAGTGAGTCATGAATTGTTGAAGACGAATCCTGTGTGTGAAAGTTGTGAGAAAACTAAGTCTTTCCTGAGAGATGATTTAATCTGTGCACAAGTTCTCATTGGTAAATCCACCAGCGTTTCCACTCATCTCCCGTTCTGACCCTTTCTAACATAGGTATGCACTACGCAGGTGGGGAGCGGTTATCTGCCACACCCTCGTCCCGATCCCAGACCGCCAGAGCTTCTGGTCGCCAAAGCACCCAGAGCGAAGCTCCAAGTGACGTCATCTTCCCACCAAGATGGCGACCACAGTACCTGACTTTCAAGGACATATATTCCCTGACTGGCTGTAAGAGTGTTTATTACTGAGGAGGAAAGACACAAGGACAAACATAGAAATTTCCCATCTATTCAGTATGATAGTTCCTTACAATTGTTTTGCCATTTTGATACCAATGTTTATACAGATTTTTGTGAGTATTAATAAGAATCAGTGCAAAGCACTGCACTGCGAACTGATACGAAAACAACGTGCTGATTCAAATACACCAATGTAGTAAATTGCAGGTGCATGACAATTCAGATTATCTTTGTGATCCCTTTGAGAATAGAAGTGGAAAAAACACTATAAAACGCAATAAACAGACATTCTTGTCCCATAAATCTGGACCAAACCATGTGCGGTTTTTACTGTTGGGTACTTGAACGCTTTAAACGTGGATGGCCTATGTTTCACAGATGAAGTAATACAGTTATAGAACATCTGTAACCCCTATCTTGACTTCCATCCATCAAATCCACCAAACCTCCGTGAGAATCGAATGAAATATACTCGTACTTCCAAATTTCACCCCCAGGCATTTCCGCCTTACAAGCATCTTGAATATTTGGGCATTTACTTCCAGCAAGTATGTCTTAGATCGGGACATTTTACGGGTTACAAACACAAGAGCTAGTGACACTCATTTCGCATCCAATCAGTGAAAATTATTTTTTGTGTGTGTGCGAGTCGAATTTAACGCAAGAGAATCAAGCGCGACATTTACCCTATGTCGTCGCTAGGCCCATGTTGCCTGGGAGACCAGAATCCCAGCCGTCACGGGAACAGTACGCAGTGAAATGCAATCAGGAATACCGCCGGGTCTAACAAGGGAACAATCCACCTGTTGCGCTGCTATGTGCAGCCGTACGAATACTCTAATTGCAGTGTTTTGGCTCGCCATGGTGACTTTCAGACCTCCACTATGACGCCCCTGATCGGAGAGGGTACAGCACGAGTGATTGCCTTCTTAGCGAGCAGGGGTTTGATCTGCAGAATGTCTGAAGCATACTAAAGAAACTTTTGAATGGCAACACAAGGGTCGACCCTCTGTTTGATGGAAAAAGTCTGTCATCACGAACGGGCCACCTACATGGACGGCTTCGACACGGGAAACAGTGCCAGCGAGCAATGGGAATGTTTTTGCTGTCGTTCTGAAACGCGGTCACGTCTAGCAGGTTGGGCAGCAACGCCGTGTGTGAACAGGAATGGTTTTGATTCAGAAATAACAAAGGAGAAAGGTGTCGGAACAGCTACAGAGGGGCTGCAAAATCAGCTGTCCTTCAAATATCACGAAGAGTCGGCAAATTACATCAGAGAGTACCGTACAAAGAAGGAAACCAACAGGTCTTCATGGAAGGATTGGAGAGAGGCTTATCGAACGTTGCCGAAATTTGTTGTAGCCACACCCGTAATCATCTTTCCTTCTTCTTATGACGTCTTGAAGTTTGCCAACAGGCAACCACCGTCGTCAGATTTACCCACTAAAGGTACATAGACATTTTCATAACTCACTTTATCTGGAACTTTCTGTTGCTCTGAAACATATGATGCCATGTAAAAGGTTTTCACTTTCACAACCTTTTGATTGGATACTGAAGACTAAATATGTGTCCCTTTCAAGACAGTCTTCGGTTGATCCTATGCAAAATCATGTAATGTTGCTTTTCTATATCATTCCAACTGTTAGGAGCGAACTGCGAAGGCACCAGTTCCAACCAGACGCCTCACACTTTATCCAACATCCACCCGAAAAGAGGCGAGGTCACGGGTGAAACGGCGCCGCCAACACGTGTGCCTTCGCGAGCCACGAGGGCACGTAGGACGAAAAACAACTGCCAAGAAACGTTACCGCGTATCGGTATGGGCAGCAAACGAAGAACAATTACATCGAGTAACAGATGCAAAACTGAAACACAATCCTTATATACAGGGAACAAACAATCAGGTCAATCAGCCCTTTTGGGAGTCACTTGGACCCAGAAAGGATTTTAATGTTTTCCACGGATTTGTTTACAACCTGTAAAGTAGTATTATCAACTCAATATATGCTCAGAGCACTTTCATGCCAGAAATGTTAAGATCTCCATCTGGTTTACGCAAATTTACAGAACAAACAACATTCGACGACTTTATTTGAGGAGCAGTCAAACCGCATGTACATTCGTGAGACTAGGTGACTTATTAGTAATCTCATTTGGTATCAAATTGATCCTTCGGGACATATTACCTTGCTGTTAAGTACAATCGTTTCTTTTAAAAACCTATGATTTTATACACCAAAACATGTCAATGAATAGTCAATACATCCAGCAAAATGAATGATTAAATTGAATCAGTACCAAGTAGAGCTGTGTACCTAAACAAATTTTAGGTACAGGTACAGGTACACAGGTTTAGGTACAGGTCCGGACCTGAACCTGTACCTGAACAATTCGACCAATTTATATGCTCTTCTGAACTCCTTCAATAACAACAAAACATAAATAAACTTGATAGTTAAGGTTTATTCTTTGTTTATGGCGAATGCTCAGATAAAATATAGGCAAAACTAAGATGTTTTTGTTTTCATGAACACACTGTCCTTACACAGGCACCCATTGTTAACCAGCTATTTAAACATTTGAGGTCACAAATAGGCATAAAATTGGTGTGAAATTGTTTAGGTACAGTACCGGTACTGAGGGATTAGGTATTTTGGACCTGTACCTAATCAATTTTTCCGGTACAGTATCGGTACTGCGTACCGGTACACAGCTCTAGTACCAAGATGTTTCTTAATACAAGTAGCATAATTGGTTGATTTGAATATCTCCATAAAAGGTCATATGCGACCAGTAAAAGAATTTGGAAGGTGAGAAACTCCAATAGATGGTTTCCGAAGAAAACAGATCTATCACAAGTGTGCTGTATTATATAGCGTATAACACCCATGACAAGTTTAGACGACCGACATATCGTCCAGTTCAAACGGTACGTCTTTCCACTTCTTCTTAGTAACCATATCCCCACCGGGAAGGAAGATGTTAAAGCTGGCAATTTTCAGGCAGGGATAACCCTTGTAGGTGTTGCCAAAGTCGAAACCACATTTCTGGCAGTAGACTTTGTGGATCCCCAAATCTTTCTTCTTTTTGTCAGTGTGCTCCCTGAACTCTACTTTATCCCATTGGCGAGAGGGGTAGATATGGTTGTGACGATCTAACAACCTCAACTCGCTCCCGAAACAGATCATTTCGTCCTCAGGGCACCCCTTGCAGCAAAGCTTTATTTCAGAAGCCCTATACATCCCCTTTTTAATCTCCTGTTGCTTTCCCTTTTCTTCCCTATCTTTAACCATGTCTAGCTGCAGTTTCCTGACTTTCTGCTGGAGGTCGCCGCTGTGTAGTTGACGTTGGATATTCTTAATGGCCTTCTCGGAAACTCCCACTGTAAGGGCGTTCACCCTAAATAAAAATTTTGGCAGATTATCATATGGAACTGACATGTAAATTTGTTTCCAATTTATACACATGCCGCAGGTCATAGCTTAAGAACGAACAATCTCGTGTAGGTGAGATGTTTCATACGTGCAGCATTTTAGACAAACTTTCTCTGATAAATTTTCTTCAAACTTTACAATGATAAGTTGATGGTCATTTGTGCCTCTTTTTGCTATGCTATACTAGTTAGCGTCTAAATGTTGGAATTGCTCCTGTATAGTGCTATTAGAATTTAAATCACAAAATGTCCTCCTCTCTGTTTAAGAAATCAGACGATGAAGGATGACCCGGCCCACCTAAAGCATGTAGCATGTTACAAACGCTGATACGCATGCGTGTTTTACCTGTCTTTCTCAGCAATATGCAGGTCAGCAATCACAAGCTCCTTCCCCTCTGCCGCGCGTGCGCGTCCGCGTGCCTGGACCATGGCGATCTCATTGGTTGCATAGTTGTACTTGATGACCATGTTGCAGTCCCGGATGTCCAGACCTTCCTCAGCTGTAAACATTGGGTCAAATATATATAACATGAACCATCATGTACGTCAATATAACTTGAGTCTCAAACCTACAAGTATCAGTTATGTGTTCGACTACGATAAACTCCTGTTATAAATAAATGACAAAATAAATGACAATCTCAATTCACAAAATGAATAGTCTGCTAACCTAACATTTCAGAGTCGTTCAAAATCTTAAATGTCTTTACAAATATCCAAGACAAAAGATTGCACAGCTACCGACAACAAAGGCGAGAAAACAAATTTCAGAAAGGTTTTCATCTTACCTATACTTGTGGCGATGAGCAGCTTGTGGACCCCATCGTTGAACTTCTTGATGACGCCGACCTGCTGGCCGTGTGTCAGTCTGCCGACGTCCTCTCCGGACGATCCCGTCAGGACCCCGGGGTTCAGGAACCTGATTGCAGGTGTCTCCCGCACCCAGCTGGTCATGGCCTGGGTCAGGGCACGGGTCTTCACGAAGAGAATGCCTGATGGTGATAGGAAAGGAATTACAGTCTGCTGTTAAAATTGAGATGGAAGAAGAACAAAGTAATGTGTAATTTTAAAACAAAAACCAGTGTATGCTTTTACAGTAATCGTACTGTCATCAATTCAAATTTCTTTTATCTAGCAATCATTTTATTACAATTGATGATATGTATGATGTAATGTTACAATGGAAAATGTTTTACATACCTCTCAATTCATCCTCAAACTCTACTCTGGTCTTCAGAATTTCCTTCTCCAGTTCCACAAGTTTTGGGTTGGGGTAATTCTCCTCCTCCTGGCTGACTTCAAGAAGTTGCTTTCTTTTTGCTGTTTAAAAAAAAAGGAAACACTTATTACAACACCCCTAGTGACAGCTTTAATATCTATAAGTGGTAGAAAGAAAATGCAATTTCTGACCTACACGAACAATTGAACCAACTTTTTTTTATGTTAACACTATCAGTACAATTCTTTCATTCTATTCAAAGCGTTCCTAACCATTGAAGCGATCGAGCAGTTTCTTTTCCGCAGCTGAAATCCTGTGCCTTCCTTTCAGCTCATCATAGAAATCTGTCAGGATGCCCATAGCATCCTTCATACGTGCTGTGTTGTTCATCTGTAAGGCTGAAATAAAGAAACAATGTGCATTTGAAAGTTTATTTGAATTGTGACATTGTAGAACACACATCGCAGGCAAATAACATCTTGCTTTGTTGGCACGTGTTTTTGAACACAATACCATTACGTTAGGCAAGGACAAATCTCGACCTGTTTGCCCGGGCATATGTTTCCTACTCTTACTTACCCTTGTTGTAATTCAGCAGATGGTCACACTGTTGTACCACATCCGTGTTCCTCTCCTCTGTTGCCTGCTTCTTCACCAGGTCCACAGCAGACTGGTACTCCTGTACTCCCCTCAGCCCGCCGTACTGTAGCTGTAGGTCCCGCGGCAGCTGATCCTCGATCGCTTTCATCATCCCCTCCACTATGTCCCTGAAGGGGTCGTCTGGCCGGGAGCCGGTTACCAGTGTGTGCTTGCTCGGCGTGTTCACCTTCTCCTCCAACTCTTTGATGTTCTCTGGATCCTCCACCGTTTTGAAGACCGCTGCATCCAAGCTAGCGATGAGGACCTCCAGGTGCTTTTCAGCACCTGGAAGATCTGGCTTTCCTCCTGCGCCTGGACTCGCGGACAGGCCAACTATCTGAGGAAGGCTTGCCTGGGGGTCGTGTAGCTTGATCTTCAGATACTCCGCCATGATCTTGTTGTAGGGGGCATCCTTCCTAGTGTGGTGGCACTCGTCGAACACGATGAGGGAAAAGTCTGTGATGTTCACAGTCTTGTCGCGGAGCGCATTCAGCAGGATTTCTGGAGTTGCCACGGTGATGTCATTGGACTCCACGACATCCTCAAACGGCCTTTTTGTCACGTACGACCCGCTGCGCTTGCCTGTGCGGAAGAGCGGCAGGTACCTGCAGAAGGTCCTGTAGTGCTGGTCCAAGATGGTGACTTCTGGCGTGAGGACCAGGACTTTCGCAACGTTGACCTTTTGGGCGTCACGCTGAAAGAAGAGGCGCTTGTCCAGGTGCTGTTTGATGATGGACATGGCGACATGAGTCTTACCACTGCCGGTTGGAGCGCACACGATGGTGTTCTTCCCTTGGATCGCTGGTTCTGCCAACTCCTTTTGGTAGTTACGCAGAGTCAACGTTTCGTGTCGGCTCTCCCTGTAAAGTCAATATCTAGTGATTGGTCATTCAAGGAAGGTTGCAGTACTCACCTAGACAAGTCAATAATGTTTTCCTTGTTGTGCCATCTACAGATACAGTTATTTTTACACTTAATGTAGTTACTGAAAATGCATACATGTATACCTCGTTTCATTTGTAGCAGCTCTCGATGAAGCCGCGGGTGCGCAGTCTGCAACCACATCTGTGTCAAGCTCAGATCGCAGTTCCTTTGGATCAGTGCAGTCGTCTGTTTGTCCAGTCCCTGAAAGTTATTACATTTCCTTTTATTTTCCTTTTACTATAGACGTTGCAATTATCATTTAGTTCAGTTCTTAAACGAAACAGGTCAGCTGGGAGAAAGTGAATTTGAAGGACTTTGATAGCTTTAATGGTTTTGTCGATGAAAGTTAGACATCCAGGTAATACGATACGCCAAAAAGCAGTTACTCAAGCAACTGGATATGATTTTGAAAACGTCAGACGTTACTAGCTGATACCAGCTGAAACGTCTGACGTTTTCAAAATCATATCCAGTTGCTTGAGTAACTGCTTTTTGGCGTTTAATGGTTTTGTTTTCAGCATTCAAGCTCTAGCATTAACCTTGTTTTCCTTTAGGTACTTTCCCGGTGTCCCTGTCCAGGCCTTCCACGGTAAGTGTTTTCTCCCGTGTGCGATCAGCGCCGCGCGGTTCCTTGGGGCTAGTACCCCAGTCTTCTCCACTGTCCACACGCTTCGGCTCAGTCCAGTCTCCCGCAGCTGTACTTACGACGCGTTTATGTTCGGTCACTTCATCTGTAAGAAGCACAGAGCGGTTAACGAGATAAATGAATGTTGATTCATTCATGTGTAGTATATGCTTATATATATATAACATATATATATATATATTGGCAAATCTATATAAAAGAGCATGTAAAAGATATAAGAGGGATAAGAAGAAAAGATCTATCAACCAAAATATCTGACCCAAGAATATGGTACCTTCTTCTTCATACTGTTCCATGATGATGACGTCATCGTCGACCTGCCCCACCCTGGTGTCTCCTGGTTGGCCCGAGTACCCTCTGTCCTGGCACTCCTTCTCCGCCGTATAGTCCTGTTCCTCTGCCGTGTAGTCTTCATCCATGTCAGGTATTGTACCCTCGGATACCTGCATGGAGTTTTGATCCCCCACCACGACGTTTTTGCTGCCACTGACACTGACGTTAGTAGTCTTCACTGTGGTGTGGTAATTGTTGATGACCTGAAGTGTGATCGGTGAAGCTGTAGTACCACCTGTAGTCAGTGTTGGAGGTCATAATATCGAGGTTAGTCGGGGTAAAGCTCAGTTGGGTAAAAAGGCATCAGCAAGCGATTTCAAAGTATAGTTTCGCGACCTCATCGTACGTTCGCCAAATGATGTTAACCTTTACAACTGATGATATTACAGCAATGTATATTGTAGATATTGTAGTAAGATGGTGATTGTAGTAAACAACGGACCTCTTGGCACTAGGCATTAGGGTCTACGTGCGTGAAACAATCAGGAGTCATCCGTACGAACATACTCACCCCCGTGTTCGGGAGCCTGGTTGCTGGAGTCCGGCATATTTCGCCCGCTGGCCTGGGCTGGAAATTAGAAAGGTAATAAACAGTCTCGTTGGTTTCCCGGTATGAGTGGTTTGAAAGTTGTGTGGCTTTTCTGAAATTGAGTTGAATTTATACCCTTATAACACCAGAAACTGAAGCGGGGATCCCCATTAGAACCGAATGGGTATTTTGGCGCGTTAAGTTTCGATAACAAGCTTCGCTATTGGTTCGTGTAAGGCACGGGAAATCCCCTTCCCTATGACCTCATAATGGCCCCGGTTTCGGTGACGTACCCGAAACCAAGGAGGTTAAATACCTCCTTGCCGAAACTATCCAAACTTCATATTACAAAGGAAGACATTAGAGACTACTCAAATAAACGAATGAGTGTAGTGTCAAATACAATGCATCATATTTTATTCAATACCAATGCCAAAAATGCATGAGCAAGGAGCTCGAGGTTCAATGAAAACCTCCGTGACAACGTCATACTGACATGATTCTGTGTGTTGGCTTATGATTAGTTGTTGCACTCAGTGACTTCTACAGAACGACAGAGCGAAGAATCTTAATACCTTGTTGTCGTCTGTTGAAGTCACTTTCCAGTCTAGTAGCGACATCGCCAAGACCGATTTCTGGTTGTCGAAGAACCTTTGTCAGACCGTGAAAGACGGTTGGATTCGATGAGGCGAAGCGGACGATTGTATGCAATACCTCAACTTTGACATGGTTTTCTCCAGAACCACCCGCCCTCTTCTCCGTCTCCGATGCATCGAGAAGTTGTTTTTCCTCATCAGACGTCAAGATGTCTTGTAAGCGGGGCACCAACACGCCAGGATCGATCCTTTGGACAAGCTCTTCCCTCTGGTCACGTAGCACTTCCGCGCACGGGTTCGAGTCTTCGGGACTCTCCTCGCACCCGCTGACTTCCTGTCCACCTGTCGCCATCGCCACACATCAGCCTACCCTCAGCTTCAACTTGGAGAACTCAGTTTCATGCCAAATTAATGATGCATGTCGTATAAAGTCAGTTTTCGAGGAATAAAACGCCACATAACTTATTGCAGCGTTGTTAATGTGTACTTTACACACGGGACTTTCCAGACGGTAGGTCCGAGAGCGAGGCGCTAACCTTCCACCTTTACACGTCATGGTACCTGTCATGGCGCAGCGGGAGGGCTGGAAAGTACCGTGTCGTCACGGACAGATATAGCGTTACATGCATGGGGAAAACCACCTGTTGTAAATTCAGTTCCAATTCATCCGCTCAGATTGGATAACGATCTGCTTGGTTACACAAATGGATATAAAGATGCCATTGTGGAAAGGCAAAACGTTCCAACAATTGCAAGCACACTCCACATTTACACACGTGGTAGGGCTGGTATTGTGTGCCTTATTCACCCACATTTTATACGATTTACTGAGATCGTGCAATTATATAGTATCTAGACTCTGTAAATGCAATTAGCTTAATTGCATGATTTTGCAAATAAAAATTGTAATATATAAATAGCAAGATCTACTCTAATTGCTAATTTCATTAATGCAATAAAACAATAAACACAGTGAAACAGATTATCATTGGTCCCTTTAATAGTTGAAGAGTGAGTGAAATCTAATATTCTCCAGATATGTTTATATAATTTGAAAGCCAGCTTATCTCCTGCCTGCCTGCCTTACAATTATCTCACAATAGAAAATATATATTTGGTGAAATATATAATCATGCTTTGATAGTGCATTGTATTTGTGCAATGAAAAACATTAAAAATTAAGAATTTCAGTCTCATTGCCATTCAGTATGATAAATCTCACATAGCAATCTCCCTCTTTTGTGTACAAATTACATTCATGGTGCGAACATAAATCATATTTTGGCACTTTTTATATTTCAGTCCACACTATGGTATGGATGAAATATATTGTGTTCTCTGATGTTTCTTCTTCTCCTCCTTCTCCTTCTCCTGCCACACAGTCAGAGGGATTCAACTCCGCCATCATTCAGCCAAATGACTTGAAATTTGGCATGGAGGTAGAGTGGGCCAATACCCCCAGGCGTTTTTTTCATTTTTTTGATACATGCCTTTGAAAAATTTTTATGAAGGTTTTTTGGGGCATTTTTCGCCAAAAAATGGATTTTTGGATCCTGAGCCCTGGTTTTACAACCAAATGATCTGAAATTCGGTATAAGGGTACCTTGAACATGTGTCTACAGAATAGCAGTCACATATTTGGCATACACCACTTCCAAATGACTCATTTGAGGGACTTAAATGGCTATTTTCAGCAAAAAAAGGGCCAAAAGTGCTATACCCGTTCCATGTTCTATCTAAAGAATGGCCGGTTCCATCCATGGAACACGTGTTCCATTGGGGTTACCTGAGGTCACATTGCACCTAAGTGGTGCGTAATGACTCACACATTCAATTTTATGTGCCTAAGACCTTCAAAATGTATCAAATCTCATCATTGTTAGTTTTTGCATACCTGTAATAAGATTAGTAAAGCTTTCGAGATTCAAAGTATTTGTTGTTGCATCTTTGTTCTCATATAGCTACTGTTTAATTCATTTATTTGAGAACCTTTGCCAGTTTTGCACTGGGGTAAGTTTGGAATAGTCCACTTTTGCGTGGGAGGGAGATGGACTGAAATATGCTGTATTTGCTCCCAAGCAAATTTCGGCCTTTCTAGTTAACAATTCTTTTTCTTAACAAATTCATCAGAACCTCAAATCCTTCACTATATGTTATTGAGGTTCTGAATCTGCAGAGTAAACTGTAACTAGTTATATGTCAGCATTTGAATTCCTATACTGGCTTTTGTCCTGGTTAATATGATAAAATCATTAAGAGTCTCATATAATCTTATCATTTCTCTTATGTTGTCACCTTAAATTCATGTTTGATCTGGACAAAAAACATATTTGTCCACTAGACTTCTACTTATGCTAATTTTCTCCTGATACAAATTGATAATGAACTATTACTGCAGAAACTACAGAAATACTGCAGAGATTTAAAACTGAGAATTAGTGCCATTGACCATCTAATTTTCACTGCTCATCATCCTAGACCTGCACCTGACAGGAGATGTAGCCATTGATCTTCTAGCCAACAGAGCCCTGATATCCAGTAAGGCAAGTGGTGTATGCTGGAGGTGTATTGCTCTGTGCACTCCTACGGGAAGATAATTGATAGGACAGTTATTGACATGGGACCAAATAGTCACACAATTGGCTTGTCTAATCCAAAAAAAGATTTGAATTATTCTAGTCATACCAGGAGGTGAGCATGGAATTGCAGAGATGAGCGATAAAATCTGGGGGTACAGGAAAGTCTATGGCAGACTGTGTTTTAATAGTTCTTCATTATTCATACTCACCACTTCTTATGTGAAGCGGATCTGCTGCAGGCTAACCTTGCCTTCAACAACCAGTGTGTCCACACGGGTCAGGGGCTGGATGCGATGGCGGAACTCGGTGAAGTGCTGGCCATTCACAGCAACCTTGAAGCTGTCCTGCTGACACAGCACCATCAACTGGAAGAGGAATGTATGACATGTACATCAAAGTTTTATCATAGACAGAGAAGAAGGAGGCACAGGATGACAGTTCATGTACCTCATTGATTAAAACAGGCTAATTACAAAGAAACCATTTTAATTAGATTTAATACTTCTAACTGGTCAGGGACAAGCCAATCACAAAGCTACATTTTGAAGGATAAATTTGGTTTGGAACAGGAAAATGACAAAGCTCCGATTATAAGGGTGAAAGTTTGAGCTTCTGGCCAATCACAAAGTTTGGGAGCTGTTTCTGGTTTACCTCAAACGGCTGGCCTGGCATGAAGGGGAAGTAGGGCGTGTCCTTTTCCTCCCCGCCCCACCCGTTGTTGATGAGGGAGTTGCGGACCACGGCACGGGCAGCAAACCTGGGGTTGAACTGCAGGGCGATGTCAGCACGTGGAGCGGTACTGGCACCACACTGCAGGTTGAAGTGGAACCTGGGGGAAAGAATTGGCCATTTAATGAAACACCAGAGTTGGTCTGTAGAAACTGGCCTGAAGAAGTAGCATTCGTATCATAGGTGACAGCTAAAATGCCACTTTCAAAGCCTTTCAACCTTCAACAGCTGGTTGTCTATCTTGTAGGCAAAAGTTGGCTAGAAATGCAGATCATCTGGTGTAATTCAAGAGTTTTGGTCATAGGTCATACAGTCACATTTTATTCTGCACTAAACCAAGCAACTGTCAAAGTATGTTTAACATCAGGCAGAAAATTATTACATGCACATCAAAAGACACCCCGATTCTGGGTTGATGATTTGAAAGTTGAATCTTGTTGATGTATGATGATTTCAAAGTAAATGAGCAAGTTGGACCCACCTGTCAGGTGCACCAGGGTGGACCGTACCATTGATGATCACCATCCTGCCAGGGTACATCCCTCCGGCAATGGATCCAATGTACGGCACTTGCTGAAACACAAACATCACACATCAGTACATGCAAGGACATACATATACACTACTTCAACACTGCTACTTCTATTCAGTGGTATAACAGATTTAAGTGGTGAGAAAGAAAAGTGATCCATGACCATGTTTCCAGTGCATGCCAGTCTAAGTGGTTGTTTCTCGAATATTTGTGTGTGAGAGAGATGGTGCAGTATTAGTTTCACTTTCTTCTGATCTTGGCTGTCTTCATAATCTTGAATGCCAATCCTTGATTTCAAGTAACTAGGGTCCACAGTGTTTATATTCTCCAACAGCCACATGCACTACAGAAGCAACAGACACCATGCATGATGTGTTAGATATTAGTAAACTAAGTCTATACTGTAATGAATCCTTATACATGTACTCCCATCTGTTATGAGCTACTTAGTGTCATGGCTGCTGCTCTATGAGACCTGTATTCCAATGGCCATCAAATGTGGCTTTTGCAAGATGCCAGCTGTCATTATTTTCATAACTCTGACCAATGTTTGCTATGTCCTAAATGTGGATGCAAAAGTGAGGCACAATGATCTGCTGACAGCTACCTTTTTTGATTATCATAGGGTAGGTACTCAGAGAATAGTTAGTGGGCAAGCTATGCATGTGATACGGGTAGAATAGGCTTATTTACCATATCTCCTCATTAATGTAAGTCTCAAACAAGCCATTCTGTCATGCAGAAGCCTCAAGCACTCTCTAAGACTATAACCCTAACACCCTACTCTACACACACAACACTCATAGTTCACAAACCAAGGCGTGGGGTCCGCTGCTGGGGTGTGCACCAGGGCGTGCCATTGGCGCAGGGGGTACCATTGGTGCAGGGGGTGCCATTGGCCCAGGGGGTGCCATTGGCCCAGGGGGTACCATTGGTGCAGGGGGGGCTGCTAAACTGCCTGGTACTTGTGGAAACTGTGAAGATCAATTGATTATAACAGTCAATCACCACCAATCAACGAGGGCATCAAATGGACAGGAGAGCTGATTCCCTGTAATCAATTATGGACCACTGATATGTAGGAACAAGGACGTTCTATCAGAATGTCCTTGGTAGGAAGCAACATATTTCTTATTTCAGTACATTTAGTTCATCATTCTGTCATCACAGCACCACAGCATTGTAATTGTTCTATCCTTAACCCCACAGGTCTTACAGCTGTACTCTGGGTTGGTCTGCTGATTTTTCACCGTGGTCAGCAACATTCCGAGAACCCAGACCTTCCCAAATCCATGTCTTTCTCCTACTTTTCAGCAAACTTTTTGATTTCTACAGCCAGCAGTGGATCTCCCTCGTACTAGTGACTTGTATTCAAAGGAAAATTAAAAGTGATACTTTTTCAAGATTGAGAAAAAATTAGTCTTGAATATATATTTGGCTAATCCTTTTTTTTGGCAAAACAGAAGATTTTAGAGAATTGAGAATCAAAAGAATGTGTATATTTCCTAAAACAATGACTTACATAATCATCAAGGAAAACATGTTGTGCGATAATAGTGCTTTATTTGACAGTTTATACATTACATGTCAAACAGTGTGAGATTCTATGATGATTTTCAAGTTAGGTCTCCCAAAGATGTTTGAAGACTGATACAAAATTGTAATATATCATAATTGAATATTGATTTTAAAAAAGTTAATTGTGGACATGATCTCAGCATATGTGAAGTGTACATAATGCACATTTTTTACCTCAACTAAGCACTACCAATATTGTAACTTATTACTGTTATAACAGTTGCATTAAGTACCATGCCTGACAGTACACATTCATGGGCATAACAAATCAGGAGGTAGAGATGCCCTGTGGCCCTGATTCTTCTTTCCTACTTCTCAATAGCAAGTTCCTTCTTTGGTTTTGATTTCTACCAATTTTACAGCAAGTAGTTGTTTTATTAGCGCATTAATGCCTTGCATACTTGTACACATCTTCTTCTTGACTTGAGTAAATTTTCCTGCTGAGATACTCACTACAAGCTGAATGTCAGTGCAAAAGTATAAAATGATACGTATAGGGTTCAACTAAAATGACAACTCCTGCTTAGCTATCACAACAGTTGTGCTACAGTACTAGTTCATGCAATACAATAGTTTATTGATTAACTCTCAGGTAACTGGCATGTTCATATCATTCTCTAAGCAGCAACAAGGCTAAATTGCAGGCACAAAACAGTACCTGTTAATCAAACCAGATAACATAACTAGTCAACTAAGATACTAGTACAATAGTTATGACAAATTTTCTTCTTATTTATTTAATTACAAAGTCCTAATAGATGCTAAAAGGCATCAATGACTACATACATAACACAGAGACTAAAGATACCCTACAGAATCAAACATAATCAAAGTCTTTCAGCCACAACTTGTTTTTGGAGCAGTTAGACTGGAGGAGGGTATCTTTCATCTCCCACGGGAGGGGGGTAGTCACCCACTGGAGGGGGGTAGTCACCCACTGGAGGGGGGTAGTCACCAAACATTGGTGGTGCATATGCTGGGTCATCCTGGAAGTAAATGTTGGACATGCAAAATATAAGAACATGAAGAAGAACAGTTGTTTGTCAGCAAACAGTTGTTTACAATTATGATTATTCCTGACAGACTGCTTTGATGAAAAGTCATGTGATATAGGCCATATATACATTGATTGGTCCTGAACATAAAGTTAATACAACATATGGCAAAATGAAAATATGACTGAAAACCTACTTTTGACCTTAAAGACTTGCCATTATGATAACAGACAGCTAACTATTGCTACAGTGTTTTACCTCAAAAATAAACACAAACAAACAAAACTCACCATAGATGTAGGATGAAAAATGAAAATGGTCCATGCTGAAGGTGTGATGAACATTGCCATGCACAGTTCCAATGTTGGCCAATCAAAATGCTCCACACTTTTGTATGGCATACACATCCATTGTCAAATCACATAACAAAAATCACACAAGATATCATACAAAATGGACAAAAAACAGCTTTTTACCTTTTCCCCTATCAAGGGTATGTCAAGCAAACCTTTCAAAAATATACGGTGCATTACTCTATGATTCTAATTATGAACAACTTTTCCCTACAAGTCATGCACTTGTTCATGGCCATAACAAGACTGGGCATTCTCAGGAGACATGGATTAAGAGAAATAGTTTTATTGAGTGTATTTTGTGGATTACGAATAAATAACAGACTCTGAGGCTAACAAGACTTCATTTTCAATCATATCACAAAAAACACAACACTGCAGTGTATAGTCAAACTTTATAATATCACAGTTGATAAGATTTAGATATTGACATGTTTATTATTATCTGATAAATGAATTTCTTTCAAATGCTATCTTGCAGTATACTGAAAGTCACATTTAATGTAGCCACAACCATATAGGAAACTGATTCATGTAAAGTTTTACATTCTGCAAATTAAAACTCCAATATGGCCAAGTTGTGGGGGCTAGGAGAGCAAATGTCACAGGTAAATGACTGTGCATACTGAAGGCTAAAAGGCTGCTGCAGAGTCAGTAGGAGATACATGTACTTACAGGGTTGAAGACTGGAGCTCCTCCTTTCTGGGCCTGGGGGGCACCCGGCTGGAAACAATACATCTCAGGTTTAGATTTCATTTTACTGACATCAGAATGGTTTTTAAAACAATGTCAACAGACTGTATCAAAAGTTAATAAAGAAATACCAATGTCGCATAAAACAAAGCAAATCTTGCACAGCAAAAGGTCACATATCAAAATCACAGAATGATGATTGTAATTATTCCACAGAATGGCTCCACCCTTGAGGCAAAACTAAAGTCAAGTTAAATGTCGTTAGTTCTTACCATGCCTGAGTCAAAGCGGATGGCCTGGATCTGTACCTTCCCATCGATAGCCAGCGTGTTGACCCGCTGGAACGGGATGCGGTGGCGGAACTCGATGAAGTGTTGGCCATTCACTGCGACCTGCAGTCAGAAGTGAAGAATGAGGAACAGGTGTATCATAATACTACAGGCTTAGTTTCACTACCCTCTCATGCCCTCTCTGCCGTGACTGCAGTACCTGGTAACAGCTGATCCACATCAGCAAAATTTCAAACAGAGAGAAAAGCTGCCACCAAGGCAAAGAGTAGGGCAAGGAAAGCTCGTCAACAAAAGAACTGAATGCACTACTAGTAGTAGACTTGCCATACTCTGTGAGTTGGCTGTTCACACATACCATATCATCATCACCTGTCAGATACATTCACTTTCTAGTGTTCCTGTATAAAATCATAGATGTTGTCTGCCATTGAGTGGCTACCTTGAACTTGTCTGGCTCGGTGAGGATGATCATCTCAAAGTTCTGCCCCATGGCAAAGGGGAAAGGTCCGTGCTGCTTCTCCTCGCCGCCCCAGGCCTGGTTCTGCAGACAGTTCCGCACCACGACGCCCGCCATCACCCGCGGGTTGAAGTGCATGGCGATGTCGGCACGGGGCTGGGTGCTGGCACCACACTGCAGGTTCACATGGAACCTGCCACAGGGAAACACACAGGAACAGTCAGACAGAAATAATGTCATCTGGTGAGGATTTCACTGACAATTACCAATTACATGTATTTGTAGTTGCTGATACAAGGTAATCTATTCAGTGTCTGACCATCTTAGAATTGGGGGTACATTGATACACTATACAAGTATAGTGCTGCAATTGGTGGCAAAAAGGAACATTTCAAAATAGGAATTCCTGGAGAGTTTGTAAGAGTACCCATATGTAAAGTCAGGTATGCTTTAAAGTTTTATAGAACTAGCATCACATTTTTGATATCTTTAATTTTCTTTGAAACCACCATCACCAGCAGCGTATCACCCAAACTGTGTGATGTTGCATATCATACCCACACTCTTCATAAGTTATACCAAGCCATCCACGTTTTCTATGGGAATACAAAAACTTCATGTACAGTTGGTTTGTAATACAATCATGCATAAATCATGACTCACAACACAAATAGAAAATGACACCTACAGTAATGAATGACACTGGCATGGGGGAAAAACTTTCATCTGACTACAGTACTATACCTTGTCATTTTAATAACAACACTCTGCAGGAATTTGTGACAGTTGGCTTATACATGTATTTCAGAAGAAGTAAGAATAGCAAGAGAGACAGAAATGAACCTGATTTGAAGACTGATTTTTTGCATCTTTATTACTGGATGGAATGACTTTATATAATTAGGCAGAAAATTATAAGGGACGAAGCATTTACACCAAAACTGGCACAAAAGAAGGAATTTGGAAATTGCTAAACTGAAGTTCATATCATGGTACAGATCTGCATACAAAATGTTTTGAAAGTAATCCACTGTGTAAACACATCTCATGCACTGTACCTGTTTATAGAAAAGGAGTTAACTTACTTGCTGGTAAAGTGACAGGGAATAAAGGGAAACAGAACAGCACAAGGTGGAACATGGGGAAAAAGAAGAAGTGTCAAATAAAAGGGGAACACAACACAATGGCTATATCATGTGTAAGTTGAGCTCAAATTTAATTTGGTGTCCAAGACAATAGACAAGGACTGACAACAAAGTGGATAAATGGATGAGAAATGACTATATCCTACAAACAAAATGGGTGGAAACACAGAAATCAGGTAAGATACAGACTTGGGGGTCTCTATTTTACACAGCAAACATACCAGGTGCACAATGGACATATATTTTCAGCTAGTATACTGTTATTTTGTCCACTACAGTGTAACATCCCACCCATCACCCAGTACCCACCTGTCGGCACCAGGTATCACAAACCCCTGGATAGTGATCATCTTCCCAGGCTGCAGTCCTCCCTGGATCTCTCCAATGTACGGGATTCCCTGGATAAGACCACAAAATTGTACATTTTGTACTGTTGATAGAGCCTGGACCTTTAGGTTAATATACTTGGATAGACAAAGTGTTCAGCCACAGCATACATGTAAACTGCTGACCAACCAGAGAACTTATTAGGGGTGTATAAGAGATTGTTTCAGTTTCTAAGAAAAATGAAAACTTATATGTTAAATCCCCATCCCTTGAGCACATCTGTGTATTTAAAATTGTATTGATTACTGCTTGAACCAATTCCAAAAGGACTTTAACAAGTATACATGACTGGGTGACTTTCCCTGTATCAGCAAGTTTCAGCACATTGTCACATGTCCATGTGTAACCTGGCATCAGTTCTACAGTTCTGTTGAACCATGGTCTATCAGCCATATTCCACTGGACAAATTTCAACCCTTTTTGCTTTTAGATATTCTTGATGATTACTCAGGTCATTTGGAGTCCTGTGGATATCCAATCTTTTTGCATTACAGTAGCCTATAGCTAAGTTCCAACCTTTTTTTACAGCACTACACCTGCACAAGGCAGATCTTCTGTAAATACATATGTCCAAAATATGAAATAATTACTTGAGGCTTAATCTCAGCTTCTAGTTCTCAACATTAGACTAAAAGCGTTACATATCTGAATAATCTTAATTGAATAAATGTTAACTCTCCAACTTTAAATAAAACTGTAATGGTTAACGTATCGTGTGAACATGAGGGTAAAGTCCAGGCCCAGCCCTTGCTGCCTGAGTGTCCCTCCCTTTTTGGTCGAACATGCACCATCCAGAACTGAACTGAAATTCGAGAGCCTCCGAATGTGGCCCTGTGAAAACGTTTCTATTATGTTGTGCTCTGCTTTGCACATCATCAGGCTGTTAATTCTAAATGGAGTTTTAATCAATTTTGGCGTGGATGTTTAAATGCCAGTGTATACATTGGAAACCTGGCAACACAGTGCCAAACTTGTAATGCCACGTGTAATATATTCTCGTTATGCCTCCTCGCATAATAACAACTCATGGCAATGAACAGACTAACTTTCTGGATATATCTTTCAAGGAGATGATTTTCATGTCAGTTGCATAATGTTGGGACAAAATTTATCAATTGCAAACTGGTCACTTCTACCATTTTCCCTAACGTTACATGTTACCTTGTTCAAAGTAACAACATACATTTGTATATTAAATGCCCCACCCCAGCATCCTCCTTTAATACTGTAACCAGTGTTAATAAAGTCAAGATCAATATTAGCTGCAAGCATTGGCAATTTGTGGGAGAGGTTAAATGCTTACAATGCATTAATGTGATGAAATCATAATAAATTTGCCCAAGGAGCTTTGCCATAGTCATAAAGGCTCTGCAGTCTTCAAAATGTGTAACATATTAACGTTACATCACAACTATGCTATATCACTGCTACGTTTTAAGTTAACTATACAACAATACTAAGGAAAAACCAAGGTATAACGTTACCAGAATACGTTATATGTAACGTTACCGTTAGCTGGCCTTATAGCTATGTCCCATGGTACCAGCTGGAGTTACCAAAAATTAACCTACCGGGTTCACAACTGGGGCCTGCATTCCTCCAAAACCAGGGTACGCCATCTTGAGAGGTTCTGGGTCGTTAGGGCGAGAAGAAGGCACTGAAGCAGAAGACGGCGTCTGGCGATCCACACACGGAGAGCGAAACTACCTCTTCTGGTGGACTTTCGGGGCGAAGCGGAAGTCACGAGCAGCTGAGTCAAGACGGGGGCGTAGTCAATGAACCCTGGTGAGGCGGGGCTACCTGCAGCAGCTCCGTAGAGTTTGGTATTTTGTGGCAAAGCGCCACCTAGCGATGGCTATAGATATCTCCCCTGATCAATTGATACTAGTAACCAGACATGCATAATGTTTGGAGTTCAACTAAAGGTTGCCTTTTCTACAGGTGTACTGAACCTCTGATAGTATTGTACTTTCTGCTCGAGTTTGAATCTCCACCCTATGGAAGCTGGGTTTATGGAATTTGATTCATTGGGCAAAGAAGTAAGGTCACTTGGCCACAGGGACACATGTGGGAACATGGGGTTATGGGCCATGAGTGAGATGTTCACAAGGGCAATCCAAACAAATACCAGTAAGGATTATTTATTTAACTGGGTCAACTTTGTGGATTTAAGAGTATTTTCAACAATGTAACTACATGTATGTGGTATGATTTTACAACAGTTGATGATGTCAGCAACATGATATGTAAAATTATCAATATTCTACCAATTCACAAAACAATAAAGATCATAATCACCTATTGACTATTCATATACATCTATACACATCTTATAAAGATATAGAAAAATAAAAACACTGATTTAGATATGCTCTTTATGTTGCTGCTGCTTTCACTAAAGAAGTACATCATTTCTTTTTCAGATTATTAAACAGTCTCTAAGTCTAAAGAGCTGCATTCTTCCAACATGACATGTTTAAAGACTTCATATCGGTGGTTGATGTTAGGCTGGGTGTGAAGAGAATATTTGGTGCCGAGGGCACCGTTGGGATGTGGAGCTCCGTAAAACACTCTTCTGATCCTGGAGTGAACCAGGGCCATCGCACACCTGCAACAATAAAACATATGCATTTGTAACTACCTGCAAGTAGTGTATAGCAGTAACATTACTTAGAGTGAAGGCTGTATGCCCATATCATATGAATTTTCTTTGTGTTACCATTGTTTTGTTCCACAAATTTTGGAACAACTGTTAGTGCAAATCTGAGAGCAAAATGTAAAGGTTTGAAATTGCCTGTAGGTTACACCTCAATTCTGTATCTCTCCTTGAAACATATTTTTTGCATTCAAGCATCTTAAATATAGAGGAAGTGCTATCTTATAATGCTTGACATCTCTTATTTTACAAGATTTAGTACCTTTACTCACAAAGAGCACTCACATGATACATGGCTCCCTGGTCACATACAAGTCATATCCAGTACACAGGTATGGTCCATCATTGGATTGCCCTTCTTCTGAGGTATCACAAGTTCTTGTTGAATCAACTAATTTTGTATCTTTTCTATCTGTCCCAGCTTCTGTTCTTTTGGATGAGCAGTCAGCTACTTCTTTGCTGTCATCATTGCTGGATTCTGTTTGCTCTTCTCTCCAATAAAGTCCTGGTCCTGAAAAGTAAGTGGTGATAAATACTTGTTGCCATTTAGTTGGAATTACATGTATCTGTCATTGGCGGCAGTCCAGACTCAAGAGACTTTTGTGATACTGAAGTGTCATTGTTTGATTATTACAATCAAAATATTTACTTGGTATTAATGAAATCAAAGAAATGCATGCCATGACTCATCACAAGGTGCACAGAACGCACACACATGTATCGAAAACAGTCATTATGGTTTAACTCCATAGTCCTGAGAACCCTGGTCTTCCTGACTCACCCCTGTGGTCCCAGTAACCTCCCCCCTGACTGGACGCAACTGTGTCCACAGCAACCATGACAGCATGGTGTAGTGGGTTCCCAGCATGCCTCAGGTCATGACCCACACCTACAACTTCATCAGCCACTGGGTCCACCACTACAGCACCAACAGGCTCCTGTACAGTAACAGTACGTAGTGTGTCAGCTGAAAGCAACCGTGATAAATGTCTGCACAAGGCTGGATAATGTTTACTTTTTGGACATAAAATTGGGCAATATTCAATCTTTTGACAAGCCTTGGACAACACACAACAGAGTACATGTAAACAAACAAACAAACAGTAAAATGCATTTGTCTTAACTCAGCATGTATATTTTTCAAAAATAAAATGCAGTTCCAAACCCACCATGCCTGTGTGTTTTGCATGTTGTGCTGCCTGAAGAGCCCTCTTCATGTACTTCTGGATGGACTGAAGCTCCTCACAACTGAAGAATTCTCCTTTTAATCTTCTCTCCAACCTGAGAAAATGATGGGGCATTTACACAAGCATATAGAATTTTGGCTCTTAATCAGTTAAATGATCACAGCTGCTTATTTATCAAATATGCTACTGACATACTCAATGACTTTTCATAACTTCATCTTAAACAAAAAGTCATCACATTTTATTATGATATACAAAGAGTACCCTGCCGTGTGTAATTGTAAATGTGGCACTCCATGTTTGTCAAGTGTGAACTATTCTACTAACTGAAGAATATTCTACTAATTGAACTATTCAAGAAGAAAATATGCATTGACTTACGACTTATCCTCATGGAATGCAGTAGGCCAGTACTGTGCACAGTGTTCATACTGCCTCCTGGTGATGGCAGGCCGAACTGCAACTTTGGTGAGGAATGGCTTTCCGAGCCCATCAAAGCGGAAACCATTTTCTGTGGGGTCCTCTGAGTCTGGACTGCTGCTGTCTTCTGAAGGAGCCTTGCAAAGTAGTATTTGTATTGTTGTCTCTGGTAAGATAGTACATAGATGTATTTGAATTAGAGGCCAATACTGTCAAAGGGATGCCACATATATATGTTCAATGTAACGTTACATACGTTTGTCCATGGTGTCAAGTCAGGTGTATGAAAGACTACATGCATTTTTAAATCGTCACATGTCAGAAGAAGGAAGGAGGGCTGATGACACTGACATTCAGTCAATATTTTGTGGTGTTGCATTTGAACTTGTGACAAGTTTTTTTTAATGTCATTTAGAAACAAAGATGAGATTTTATGCTTTAAACACCCTATACTCCAGTGTGAGCAACAGCTATAATTCCTTTTCCAGGGCACTAAATATCATACAGATCTGAGTTGGTTTCTACCTTTGTTTCCTGACTTTTGGCTCTTGACACGTTTGAGATGAAGTAGATCTGGTAGAGGGAACCTTGATGACACCTCCCTGTGGTAGAGAAGGACATTGGTCATCGAGTGATAGGTGGGGGCAGGAGACTGAAGGTTAATCTGATTACTTAACTGCTATCCCTTCCAATATATAGTGTGTAAGTCCAGGGTCTGGGACTGGTAACGCTGGTGAGTTGCACAGAAGGGCAGATATATATACCAGCTGAGTACAGATACAGATACACTGAGTAGTACCTACTTTATAAGATGGGATGTTTGCTTCTTGTCCAAGACTGGAGCAACATACACATCAACTGTAAATGTAAAGAGAAAGAACAATTCACAATTCCCTTCTACATACCCATTCATTATATCATATAACATTATATGTGCACATTTTACCGCTCATCCTTTTAGGATATAATAGAAATATTAGAGCTTTACAATAGCAAGAGCAAAAACTGCTGTACAACTGACACATCAACTGTACATGACAAAACAAGAGGAAGACAGAAGGAATACCAGTAGTCTATGTGATGGACGTACTGAGTGGAACTGGAGCCATGACGTCTTGTGAGAGGACAGGTACAGGGTGGGGGATGGTCACACCTGGCGATGATGTAGATGCTGCTGTGGTTTAGAGCAAAGAATCAATGTAGGTCCTAATGTTTATGCTGCACTGATAAAGTTTAACAGGGGATCTTATCTTTCAATAGAGTGAATGTCAGTTCAACAACAACATTTAGGCCTTTAGTCAATAAGTGCAGTGCACACCTAGAGTTACCCTGCCCCCCTCCCTACATTTGGAAAGGGTCTTACTTAACAACTGATAACAATGTTAAGCGGCAAAAATATACATGCAAACTATTGATGAGTTAAATCGTTATAACTATGAGAGAAATCACTCACCAGAAATACTGGAATCGTCCTCACTTTTCATTTTCTTTTTGCACGGTCCCAAATCACTCATGGGCGCCGCCATGTTGCCGTTCGAACAGTTTACTTTTACTGGGGGTAACCTTGAATGGGTAAATCATACATATAAAGATACAATGGTATATCTAGTGACTTCACAGAGTTAAAAGGGAATTTTTGTGATGGATATTCTTGACATATCTGATCTAACGTACAAAGCTGTAACAGTAAGGGCGGCTGACTGCTGTAAAATTCCCATGTTCTAACCATTTCCCCCCAAAAAGTGGTTGATTCGACACATAATCCATGCCTCCTGTCGGCGCGTCAGCAACGTGTTGCTGTAAACTAGTGTTAGTTAAACGGGTTGTTGGTGTCAAGTTTAAGTTTCCTCAACCTGTTGTAGGCTTTGACCGTTATATCGTTTCGCCCACTATAAGTTATGGGTTGGGACACAAACATAAAGCTTGCCGTTCTTCTTGGCTCAGCGACAGCTGCAGCCGTAACGTTAGCTGCTGTCTTCCTTTTCATGAGGGAAAGAGAGAAGAAGAGGAAAACAAGGCAGGGAAGTTACGTAGAAGTCGGGAAGGTGTCCCAGATCTTCCTGTACCCGCTGAAGTCAGGGCGAGGCTGGGATCTACAGCAGGCAGAGTCTACAAGGATTGGACTGAGGCATGACAGAGTCAGGGACAGGTGGCTGCGTTTGTTTGGCTAAAATTTATTGGTAGATTTGTAACGTGTTACTATTTATTGTAAGCTCCATGTTAAAATTTAGCAAAAATCTGAGTTCAGGGGTAAGAATCTTTCTAAAATCCTTAATTGATCGTTATCAGTCAAATTCTTAGTGAAGGGTTCCTACTCACTAGGTCAAAGTGAGAATTATAGAACAATTACATGAAGGGTCATCCCTGCAAGTGAAAGTGAAAGTAATGAAGTGGTTTGAGGAATAAAAGGTTACTGCAATCCTCTTTAACTAGAAGTACTTGCAGCACACGTTTTGTAATATTCAGGTCTTTAATGAAATTACAGTGTGAACTAGTATGTTCACGTTGTGTGGGAATCACTGTGCAAAACATGACTTCTCTAGAAACTGTATACATGTATGTGCATTTTATACTTTCTTCTTTAAAACACTTTTATCCTATCACCAGGCAGTGGATGATAGTAGATGAAAGAAATGACTTCATCACGGCCAGGCAGGAGCGGACGCTGGTCCTGGTGACGTCCAGGCTGGACCCTGATGGTCACCTGAGTCTGGACGCACCAGGTATGCCCACCCTGAAGGTACCTGTTGGCCTGACAGAGGGGATGGTGGTCAAGGCAAGGTAACATGTTGGATAAAATAGTACATTTTGTTGATTTTTGCACAGCTATTATCTACCTTTAATTCTAACAGGCAAACTTTATACCGGTACTAGTAGTAGAGTATAAAGCAATCCAACTTTTGGATCACAAGGGTTGGAATCGAAACCAGGCCCACATGTTGCAAGTCTTGACCTCAATATGTATGCAACGAGAAAATTGACTTTCGTCATTGTCATTATCACACATTGAGGTTATATAGGGCCAGTACATACTGCATGTTCATCATCTTTTCAGAGTATGGGGACAGGAAGGGGAGGCCATTGACTGTGGTGATGAGGCTGCAGACTGGTGCTCCACCTACCTGAAGAAACCAAACTGCAGGCTGTGCTACTGTGCTGACCACCTCAGGAAGAGGCGGCTGGAAGACGATGCAGACTACGGAAATCTGGCCAAACCCGGGGAGGAGGTCTGGGTTTGAACTTTAGAAATGAACGAATGTTGAACTTGAGATGGAACTTGTTTGATTTGTTACTTCCGTAAGTACTTAGTAACTAACAAGCTTAGAAGGAAACTAGCGACAACTCTATGAACTTGCATATGCAAGAAGAATTTGATTGAAGTTTTGACATTTATTGCATCCCCTGAAACACTTCTGCTTTATTTCATGGACAACATTTCTGCCCTCATTGATTTGGGCCTGTTTGCTTGTCTTGACAGATGGACTTGATAATAAAATGTTCAAAACTGCTGCAGGTGGGGTTCCAAGACTTAGGTCAATACTTGATGATATCAGAAGCTTCCCTGGACAACCTTAATGCCAAGTTAGAACAGCCGGTCACAAGCAGAAACTTCCGACCAAACATCATGGTGTCTGGGTGTGCTACTCATGCTGAGGTAAGTAGCTGCTTTCTTTGTTTTTGTTCAAAGGAAAATCTGAGACATACATTTTTATATGGTCTGGTCACCTAACAGTGTAACCAGTGATTACTACATAAATATAACCATTGTAACTTATAATGAGAGCTAAAAAAATCAGAGCTGCTATTATTAACCATTAAACTCTACTTTCAGGATTCTTGGAAATTTGTTAAAATAGGAGATGCTGAGTTCAGAGCACTTAAACCATGTACAAGGTACTAAACATTTTAACATATTCCGCAACCATAATTTGACTTACACATATGTATTTTTTTTTGTCTCGTTTAGGCCACACCAATTTAATTTGTTGGTTCTCGGATTTTTTCAGAAAAAATATGAAGCGACAGGGCGAAAAAAAATAAAAACAGGTCTAGGCATCCTATTATAGGCTTAAATGCTACAAAATGAGCCATGAAGTCAACACAAAAGGCTGGGTTAAAATTTAAACATTGAATTTTGAACTTTTAATCAAACCACTGCAATGATAGATGGGAAAACTGTAACAACTAGGAAGAAAAGGACTTTCCTCAACTGTTGTGGGGCAAAACATGAGCATTTTTCAGTTGATTCAGGACTAGAGTCAATTTTTTTTTTTTTGCAAATCAGAAAAAAACGAAGAGGCGAATCCGAGAACCAACAAATTAAATTGGTGTGGCCTTAATGTTTTTACTTGGTGCACACATACTTGATTTGTATTTGTAATGGCATGACTAGACTATGGGCGTTTTACCACATATACACAATTCTGCTCTACTTTTTCCAGGTGTGTCCTCACAACCATTGATCCTGAAACAGGAGTCAGGATGGGAGCAGAGCCTCTTAAAACATTGAGGAGGTATGATCTTGGCTTTATTGCATCTATCATTTAAAAGGGAATACACGTATCACATTGTATGTGCATGGTGCATAAGCCTGTCTACTGTATTTTCCATGTCATGAAGCTAAATTGATGTGCCCTGTACTGATTTAAGGAGTAAATATTGTCTGTTGATTCATAGTCATCCAAAATTCTACTGATGGCTCTTGATAGATTTCTTTGGACCTGGAAGGAGAACTGTGGTTATATGTTTGATTTTGAAAAGCATTACTAGCAGCTGATTACTAGAAACATTGCTGATGAAATAAAATGATTTTTCATTCAATCTATTTTCACACAATTCACCTACAGGTATCGTCAAACATATGGACCACTCAGAAAGCTGATAGGCGACACTCCACTGTTTGGGACCAACCTAGTGACAGAGAAGGAAGGGACGATCCATGTGGGAGACACTGTGTTTGCCTCATATGACTGAGACAAGTCATGCAGTGCTGCTGCTGATGCACTGTAAGGAACATCTGCATTCCACCATTCTTCATTTGAATGAACTGTTTTATTTCTAGTTTTAGAATTTTTCCTGTATGAGGACTACTCATCTAAGTCATTTTGTGTATTGGCATCCTTTTTAGGCTTCATATTTATTAGAAATCAATGTAGCAAGAGTTCATAATATATGTAGGCATGGCTGAAGATCAGGTCATCTTTACAGACCCTAATATAATCTTCTTTGTCATCATGTTTTAAATAAAGCCAAGAAAGTGACACAATCTCCCTGGAGGAATTTACAGGATTTTAATACAACATACATGTATGTGTAAGATATGTGAACAATGTTTACGTACCAGGTTCTGAATCAGGATGTATCATGAATTAAGGGTGAGGGAGGTGGTAAGTGCTCCTGACTTCTCTTTAAGTAGCAGATGACAGGAAAACATTAAAAGTGCAGAAAACATGCCCACAGGCAAATCCAGTCAAACAGGAAAGACGTCTAAATAAGACATGATGAGAACATCATAAGGCACTAGAGAACGTGAGGGAATGGACAGCAGAACTGTAGAAACATCATGGAGATAGTGTTGAAGATAACGATATCAGGAAACTATCTGAAGATGTTGCTTCAAGTCTTCTACAACTGCAAGTAAAAAGGCATATGGGACAGATAAAGGACAGTTTTTAAGTTCAACTTGTTACTTTTTACAATCTCCAGTGTTTGTGATGGCAAGAGTAACAATGCTAACAATTCACAAGGGTATTTTTAGTTAGTTCTATTACATGGTGCAAGTAGACATCCCAGCATGGTACACATCAAAGCAATTGCATTCTATCCCTTTCAGTGACTATGTACTGTTTTGGCATTCCACACAGTGAAACCCTTTTCTACACCCTACTGTGTTTGTAAGTACAAGCTACATAATAATTAATACACAGACTGGGTAGGTATTTGCACAAATGGTTTAACCTACTACCTTTCCTACAATCTTAAGCTATCCACCTGCATACTGCAGTATGTACCTTTTGGCTGTGGATTAAATTATGGTACAACTAAGACTTAATGAAGTATACAGACTTTTGCATAGAACTCTTGAAAATTAAACAAATGATATCAATATCAATAAATTAGTAATATACATTATTTGACATAATCAGAATTATTGAGGTAAATATAAATCTTTGTAAAAATTTAAGATTTCTCTACAAAACTGTGATGCCAAAAGGGCAGTGGTCTTATCCATAGGCAAGGAGTGTTACTATTGCATTAAGTGTGACAACTTTAAGTGGAGCAACAAGCTTGGTCTTGTGCTTTCTATATGGCCTTAAAGAATATCATTTATTACAAACTTGTTCAGTGTTGAAGAAGCATTTACTGGCCTGTCATAGTGAAAGCCACACAAGCTGTTTCAGCTGAAATGTGCTTCTGTATTACTGAAGTACAGAATCTGATGTATCGTCTACAGTGTGGGGAGCAAAATGTGCATTTACAGCAATTACAAGGTCGTTGAAAACCTGAACTGACAAAATTGTGTACCTTGTCTCTATGGCTGGTACGTACACACAAAATTGCAACTTGTGTGAGTCATGTATAAAATAGGTGCTTGGCACAAGTGAAGTGTTTCTCCTTGGCAAATCATCTGTTTCCCAGTATGCTATCTGTAGTTTTCATAGACACCAACATTTTACAAGTGCTTACAAATGGCTACAGTGAGGACATGTTTACAGTGCTGGGGCACTCACTTGATGACATACAGACTAAACAACGGAGTAAGGACTTAAACTGTCAGTCTGTGACACTACTGTGCATGGTCTTTTTTCTTAAATCTTTAATGGCACCATACCCAAACAGTGACTATTTCCTCAGGTGGGAAAATATACACCTA